AAAAAAGTAGTAGTTTATATGGAATACAGGTGGCCGATTCGTTTCGTGTGGCCGACTCGCTAGTGAAATACGTTAACTAACATCGGTGATGAGTCATCCCCCGGATCCTGACGCTCAACTCCAAATAAATGAAATCGTAAACCGAACAGTAAGCAACATACAGAATCATCAATCAGACATCGCCAATATGCCTCCCTCCTCCCCTCCCTCCTCCCGTCGACGCATTCTCCTTCTTACCTTCGACGCCTTCAACACCATTTACCGACCCCGCGCCCCAGTCTTCGACCTCTACATCCAAGCCGCCCAATCGCGCAAACTCCCCCACGCGGAACACCTCACATCTGTGACCCTCGGCGCGGCGTTCAAATCGACATTTAAATCACAAACAAAGGCATACCCGAATTATGGTCGAGAGCTCGCGATTCGCGGCGAATACGGCGGCGCAAGACAGTGGTGGGAGGAGATTGTGAGGGGGACGTTTACAAAGGCATTAAGTGATGCGAGGCCAGGTGCCCACGGCGCGGAGACGAATGCAATCGCAGGTGGAAATACAAGCGCCGGGGAAATCCAGATACCGGAGGACTTTGTTGAAAAGCTTCAGACATTATTTGCTAGTCGAGAAGGATACGCATTTTATCCCGGGGCGGAGAAGCTGTTTGAATGTCTCCGGCGCGTGAAAAGACAGGGGACCGGGCCGGGTCCGTTCGATCGAGTCATCGTGGGCGTGGTTTCGAATTCGGATGATCGTGTTCCTGCTGTGTTGAAGTCTTTGGGCCTACGGGTGGGGAATGTCAGGGCTGATGAGGATATCGAGAGCATGCGGCTGCCAGGGTATGAGGAGCGAGGAGATTATAAAGAGCAAAACGAAGTTGAAGAGGGATCATCGGGTCAAGAGGATGTTGATTTCGTGGTGACGAGCTACGAGGCGGGGGTTGAGAAACCCGGTCGGAAGATCTTTGATATCGCCAGACGACAAGCCGAGAGGATTGTGGGGCAGGAAGAGGGACTGGACTGGACCATGGTGCATGTGGGCGATGATCTAGAGAAGGATTATCGGGGGTGTCTGGATGCCGGGTGGCGGGGATATCTTGGATTGGACGGGCGTAGTCTGGATGAATTGGAGGGGGTATCGGGTACAGACGTGTTTGAGAGTTTAGATGAGCTGGAGGGTAAGTTGGAGGCGATTGAAATATAGATTGGCGATGATATCATGAGGGGATGGTGGTAGTATACTGGATAGTCAAGACCTGGAGTTAGGGCTGCCTGGGGTGGTGACAATCTGCCCGTCCGGCCATCATTTCCGGCATATGACGAAGACGAGATGAAGAACTGGTTTTCTCTCTCTCTCGGTGTCTTCCACATGTTTATATTAGATAATTCTTTTTACTCTGTTCATTTCTTTTTCTCGTTTACGTTTTTTCTACTTCGCCGACCGCCGAGCTGAGTCATCGGCGAGCAGGGCTGGCTGCATCTCCGACGCTCTTCATCAGGCAGTCCGCCAGTCTCTCGCACTCTCGGCATCCTCAGTCGCCCTCTCAGCTCTCCTGGAATGTCCCGTCCCTATCGCTCTAAACGCCATCGTCCCTGCGACCAATGCCGCGAGCGAAAGCTTGGCTGCCAGACCGACGACGGGTTGCCCTGCATTCGCTGCCGCTCCGCCGATCTCGCCTGTACTTTCGAGCATCCGCCGCCCAAACGGCCGCGACGAGAGTCCTCGCAGTCCTCGTGGATGTGGGAGGATGTGACCCCTGACCATCTTCCCCAGCCCACGCAGACGCTTGATCAATCGCAATCGCACCAGCAGCAACAGCAGCAACCACCACCCATCGGCCAGACCTTTAGCCTGGATGACCTCCCGGTGGACGGTGTCTCCCCGGCAGTCTCCGGCCAACTCGTCTTCGGCCGATCACCCACGCAGTTCGTGCAATCGCTCGACCAACTTCAGGGATTCTCAGCTCAGCTATTCGGGGCCTCTGCAGAGTCAGATCCCTGGCTCCTACGTCATTGCTCGTTCGATGATGCTGGCGTGAAATGTTTCTACAAGGTGCATTTCCGGAATGCCGGCGGCGTGCCCACCGCCGATAAGATCCCCGTGCACTTCATGATCGCCGCCGACGAGTTGGCCGACGCGGCCAAACGCGAGACCTCTTGTCGACTGCCGGCCGAGGGCACCACAAGTTCGTCTGCCGCTTCTTCACGCGACGAACTCAACCGGCTCGTGCCCCCAGAATACGGCCCCCGACTAGTTGCCCTGTTCGTCAAGTATGTGTTCCCGGCGTTGCCGCTGCTGTCGCGCTCGCACATGGGCCTCACGCCGACCTGCTGGACGCCTCAGCCCTGGGTCCTCGAACGCACGCCCGTGCATCTCTTGGCGGCAATCTACGCTTCGGCCCTGCCCTTCGCCGTCCATGATGACTATCTCTGTGTGCTGCAGACCTACAGCGCGCCGCCGGCGCATCGTCTCTGGCGGCTGGTCTACGAGCTCGTCGCCGAGGAGATCCACACGCCGCACCTAGCCGTCCTCCAGGCCGCCATCCTTTACCTGCATCGGCCCCTGGACGATGCCCAAGCCAGCCGGGCCGACACGCCATTTGTCTGGTCCTGGGTCGGGAGTATCGTTGGTCTGGCTGAATCGCTCGGCCTGCACATCGAATGCCGCATGTGGGGGATTCCTGCCTGGGAAAAACGTCTTCGGCGACGACTCTGGTGGGCCGTCTACGCCGAGGACAAATGGCGCAGCTTGCTGCTCGGTCGTCCCCCGTATATCCATGCCGGCGAATGGGACGTCGCCGAGCTCGACGATACGGATTTCCTGTATCATGCGCGAGGTGCGGCGTCGGCAGGATCGGCGGGCGTGTCAGGAGCGTTGGATCCGGTCCCGTTTCGTTATCTGGTGGATTTGTCGGCCATCGCGGAGCAGATCTATCGCTCGTTCTAGTAAGTCACATTCTTCTTTTCTCTCTAGACTGAGCTATCCCGTCAGTCAGCTAACGGCATCATACAGCACTCTGCGCAAATCACAGTACCTCTCGGAGCGATTTCACGCATCTCATGACATCGGCCGTCCACTTCTCGAACGGCTCAATGCCTGGTATTCCTCCCTCCCCGAAAGCTTCCGTCTGCCGAATTGGAGCAAATCCGTCAGCGGGCTAGCGCCATATCCAACCTCCATTCATTTCGCCTACATGATCCTGGTGCTGTTTGTTTACCGCGCCTTATTAAGACCGATGGCGAGGTCATCCAGTCCGCCACTGATCTTCGATCTGGAGGAGATGCCGACGAATCCGGATCCGGTCCCCGGGACAAACCCGGAGCTTGATGCGTCGGCGGACGTCAATGGGGATGGGGTGGTTGGCAACGGGGACGAGAATCCGCCGCTGCTCGATTGTTTCGATATGCCGGAGATCGAATCCTTCCCGGCGGTCGACCTGACAGATCATGGCACCGGCGAGACGATCTTGAACGCGGCGGAGAGATGCGCTTCCATCATGGTGAGCTTTACGAGACGGCTGACGAGCAGTGATTTTGTGGGTTTTTGGTACTCGTGTATGTTTCCCTCCTGTTGTTTTATTCTCTATTGCGCTATTTGCCACTTACTCCCTTTCCGTGTCCCTGAAACAACATCCCAAAACCGCAGTTTCACATCGCCCTCCGCCCGTTTCGACAACAAGAAACTAATAAGCAACAAGGGTCCCGCATTTCCTTCGCCACCGTCTCGAATTTCCTCCTTCTTCTCCTCATTCAAGCCCCCAACGCCGATCGCGCGTTGAAAGGTAAACAGCTCGTCGAATCCTGGCTACGCGTGCTGCGCTGTCAAAGCCAGAGCTTCCCCATGATGAAACTGGGCCTGACTCGGCTTGATGCCGTGCATTGGGTGGGTCTGGAACAGACCTTCGTCCTGCCGGGTCATGTGGCCGAAGTGGTGAAGAGCAGTAGTAACACTGGGTCGGCGGCGGGAAGTTAACTTGGTTCCGCTCGGCGGATATCGGCCGACGGGTACGCGTCAGGTTTTTTTTTCTCTCCTCTTACCTAGTTAGGTAGGTAAGGGTTTTAATGATCTATATATACCCTGGCACGGCCTGCGTTGGACTGTGGTTTGTTGTGTCGATTAGGGCTACTTTCACACGCTGCATTTGCCACCTACCCCATCGACCCTCAACTATTCACCCTTCACCTCTCCAAAACAAGCAGATAAACAGAAGAGAAAGAGAAATACATCATGCCGAGCTCTATTCTCAACATCTTGTCTAAAAAGCATAACTACCGAAATTCAAGTCCGGTGTCGGACTCAGTGTCTGAAATCACCTTGCTCGAGTAAGTCTCATATTTCTCCAAATCTGATCAGTGGAAAAGAACTCCGACCAACTAATTACACCCACTTCTTAGACGGAAAAAGTCACACGATGGAGAGCGAGAATGTACCCCATCTACTATGAGAAAGCCGATTCGTGAGAGGGGGGACTTTAATGGTATGTTTCTTCGATATCCCTTTATGTCAATTAGTATTGGGTTGTAGTTCGCTGACTCTGATTGCATGATAGCTGCCGATTTATGTTTCGGGTCTTGTTGTCGGAAGTGATCTTTCATCTTCCATTATTTTACGTCTTTCGTTTTACTTGTCATGATCGGGATAAAAGTTGGAGTTCATTGGGAGGAGCAATATGTAATTAACAGGGAATGAACATCTACGGAGTATACATGTTTTTTTCAAGCTATTCCTTACTAGTTATAGTTATGGCACCTCCCTTAGTCAAGCGGTAGTTGGGGCCCTTTTCCACTGCGAAAACCTTAAAGTGTCCCTGTTTTTCTGACTAGCCCCATTCTTCATATTAGACCATAGGCACTACTAGTAGTACATGCCGAAGATTAAATACCAGGCTTACCAGCATATGTTCTCCACTAAACGAGGCGAATCTTTCTGCCCAAGTCCCCACCGACCTACGGAGTACGTAGTTCTGCAATCTCCCGCGCACAATACCGCTACCGAATCTTTTGAGTTGCAGGTGTCCACCCCGTACTATCTACTCAGTGTATACTCCGTATTCTAGAAGATTAACAGCTGCCAAGGAGCTAGAGGCCTAACGTCATGCAATACCGGCCCTAATTTGAAGAATCCGCCTTAACCTAACGGTCAATAGGCCTTCTATATTCATACCTCTTATCTGTTATCTCCTATCTCTTATCTTATCTTATCGACTCACTCTCCTCCTCCAACCTCCAACTCTCTCCAATTAACTCCCAATACCCACTGAAACGATGCCACGACCGACCGACAACACTACCTCCTCATCATGAACTTCCGCGATCCATCCAATTCCTAACCTCAACCGCTAAAATGCCACGAACCCCCCAATTTGCATCCACGCCGCGCTTTCTCCTCTCCCAACGCGGTCCCCCTCCATCCTCATCCTTCTCCGCATCCCGCCCTCCTCACCCCGAGGCCATCGACGAAGATGGTTCCCCGCAGAACACGCCCCTCGCGAAACGCGTCCGCGGTCGTCTAGATCTGGCGACACCGGGATCGGCAACGAGGCAGCCAGGTACTTTGCGCGCCGCCCGCGCAAGGGACGTGATTGAGGATTCCGAGGAGGAGAGCGGGCTGTCTGCGGGAGAAGTCGACTCGGAATTAGAGGCTGAGTATGGGGCGCTGTTTGGGGAGACGAGATCGAGATCGAAAGCGAAGAGGAGACGGGTGGATGAGGTGGAGAGGGAGAATGACGAAGAAGAAGAAGAAGAAGAAGGACGGAATAAGAGCAATGATGCAGACGACTACGGCTACGAGCAACAAAGCAATGAGAACTCCCACGACATTGACATTACCAATGGCAATGAACCCGAACCCGAACCCGAGCATACCCAAGGCAATCAAAACCAAAACGACGACCTAGACCCAAACCCATACTCAGACGAAAACATCCCCTCTTCACCACTCAAACCGCCATCAACGCCATACCCAAGTTCCCACCGTCCACGCTTCCTTCTCTCCGCGTCATCGCAACTGCATACGCCTTCGCAGACACACTCCCCTCTCTATCCCCCATCCTATACAAAACCGCAAACATCCACCAACCCTTCAGAAATGACCCCCGCTGCCCCGCCATCCACAACAACAGCAATAGATTCAACAATGGCACCACCGCCGTCAACCCGCCGAAAACCAACCTTCGTTCTCCCACGATCTCCGTCCCCCGATACGGCTGCCGATGAGTTTCCATCGCTGTTCTCGCCGTCCCGGACGCAGCGCCGAAGAGGGCGACAGAGAGGTTCGGGACAGGGGTATGTGGCCGGGGGAATGGCGGAGCAGGTGAGAGGGTGGGTGCTGGAGATGGGTGTTAAGAGCAATTATCGCTCTGGGCATGGGAACCGAGATGACCGTGGGGATAGTGAGCGAGGGAGTCTGGATGGGCAGAAGTATGCGTTTGTCCTTCGTGCGATTGAGGTCGAGAGGTCTGTGATGGGGAGTTGTGGGGAATTGGTGTTTGTGAGAGGAGTGGATGGTAAGGAAGTAGGAGGTGGGGATGAGGATCGAGATGCTGGTGATAGGGTGGTGAGGAATGTGATTTTGATGGGCGAGCCTCAGTCACGGAATTTGAATCCGGAGGTGAACGAAGGGGATGAGGTCATGTATCTTCAACAGGGAGATCTTGTTGGTGTGTGTCAAGGGCTGGTTTGGGATGTTGAGTTAGATGCCATGGGGGAGTCGATGTCCGGGGAGAGGGAGAAGTGGTCGGTTTGTATGGAGTGGGATGTGTTGTGATTCTGAATTTCTTTGCTACATACTTTACTATGACATAGACTATGATACCCTGTTTTTACCAGATTTTTATTTGCAAAAATTGTGATATAATGCAAAATTTATACTCACGACTAAGATGCACCGCTTACAAGCCTCTGATGATTCCATCCACGATATGAGGCGAGGAGGCCATGATTATTACTGGCAGGTAGTATTTGTGAAAGTAGGTAGAGAGACACTACCTATTCCAAGAGCAAGATAAGTAATTTATCTACTACCTAATGGAAATGGCATCGGCGGTGAGCAGAGAGCTCTTTCTTTGCTCTCATGCATGACCATAACAGCGGGCGTTATTAGAAGGCTTCTAACTCGTTAATGATTTCAATAATCTGGAACATGCACTCCGGACTTGGCTCTTTCAGGAAGAGTTTGATAGACAGTGTTGGCGCTGGTTAGAAAAACCGGTACATATGTATGTGCTGTACCTCTATACATCATCCTATTTTCATTTGGCAAGAACTATAAAATCAATCCGTCTCCTTTGCAACCACCTTCAACGCATCAACTGCCACCTTGCACCCCCATCGCACCACCTTCTGCTCCTTCTCCGACACAATATCTGACTTAGAGACCACCTTCCTGATGAAATACATCAGTCCCTTGACGACCTGCGGCGTGTCCCGCGTTCGCACGAAGATCTCCATCAGCGCCTGCTCATCCCGCACGTCTTCGTCCTTCTTCTTCTCCTTCTTACCGCGCTTGCTCTTCTGCGATTGCTGAATCGTCGTGATGAGGAGTAGTTCAACAAACGTGCTAGTCTTGGATTGCAGGTACGCGAAGTTCAGCGTTTTCAGAACTCCCAGGTTCAACGTGCCGTCGGCGATCAAGGTACCGTAGAACTTGGCTAGATTGACGACCGATTTCATGGGCAGATTCGACTGTTCGTCGTCTGCGTGGAAGTCGTCGTCGTCATCCTCATCGGCGCCGGTCTCGCCCATGCGCTTGAAGATGTTCCACAGGGTGTACATGAAGGAAATTTTAATACGTCGGCCCATTTCTCCGCAGAGTCGGCGCGCGATGAGCGTGTAGTATGGGTTGTAAGCCTCTTCCTCCATGGCGCAGTGGGTGAGGACCCGAGGGATCTCGAATTCCTGAGCGCGTTTAAGGCGGAGTTTGAGCAGCCGGACGTGTGCATCTTGATAATCGGGCGCGGACATAATGGCGACGAAGATGGATCGGCGGACGTCGGTGTTCATACGGTGGGCTTTGGCGAGGGAGGCGTAGTCGGGTTCGCCTTCGCTGTCAGACTCGTCGGCGTCTGCGGGCAGGCCGTGCTGGTTGGTTGTGGAGAGTTCGTTGCGCGCGGATTCGAGCGGATCTTCCTTCCAGCTGGCACCGACGAGCCACCATTTACCTTTCTTCGAGGCGTTGTGGATGTCGTTGCGCCCAATGCTAATGGGCTCTGTGGCGCGGATGGCGCGCGAGTTGTTCAGCCCGCCGAGGATCTTGCGCATCTTGGTGATATGCTCGGAGGTCACTGTCGTTGAGCCGACGCCGACACCGGACTTCATGCGGTTGTTCTTGAGGTCGGTGATCGTATCGATCATGAACTTCGTTCGGACTGTGAGGGCGGATTCGCCGGCTTTGGCGATGGCGGGTTGAATCAGGAGGACAATGTCTTTCAGGGAAGAGGGATCATCTTGTCGCAATTGGGGTCCGGAGTCTGGATGGATTAGCATTGGGTTTAGAGAGAGAAGGGGGTTATGAGAGCGTACTTCGGATAATCTTGAGCAGCAATTCGGTGTTGTCTTCTGTGATCTCCTGCAGGAAGAGTCGGATATAGTCGAAGATGAGGGTGCTTCCGATGACGTGGAAGTTGTACAGCTGCGACAGGAGAGAGATCAAGTTGATGGCTTCCTTGCCTCCAAACTTACCCTTCTCGTCGCCTCCAGCATCGAACATCTCCACGATCTTCTGCACAAGTTGCGCACCAAAGTCGATGCCGACCACCTTATACACAGCTGCGATGAAACCCGCATGAAGAATGACGAACGTGTCCTGCAACGCAGACCTCTCGCATATTAAACCGAATAGCAAATTGATCAAGGTGGACGTCACTTCTCCTCGAGGATAATCCCGATAGAGCTTCTCAAATTCCGAAAGAATCGACACCATGTTCGCTTCGGACAGCTTGTTGAGGTGTCCTTGAGCTTGTCTCCGTAGGCGAATAAGGGTTTCGGACTCTGAATTCGAGGCGGCGCGCAAAGACGGTGGGATGTATTTTTGCGGTTTGTTTTCTGTCGGCTCTGGAGCTACAGGCGCAACGTAGGGATTCTCGCGTTTCTTGGGGGCAGGCTTGTCTTCCTCTTCGTCGGCCTCTTCGTCGGCCTCTTCGTCGTGCTCGTCCTCGTCCTCGTCATCTTCATCAAACTCGCCGAAAGCATCATCATCATCCTCATCCCCCTCCTCCTCATCGTCATCTTCGTCTTCATCCATGTCATCCAAATCGTCCGAGTCACCCTCCTCCAAGTCGTCCAAGTCGTCCAATCCCAGATCGCTTCCCATGTCACTGTCGTCCTCTCCAGATTCGCTGTCGGGTTGCAACCCTTGGGCCTTTCTTCGTTTGCTCTGCAACCAATCGTCGGCTTCTCTTTTGCGCTTGCGACCTTCATCCGCTGACCCGTCATCCAAGTCGCCGAGCAACTCATCCAGACCATCGTCTGCAAAGGATTTCGGAAGTTTCTTTCCCTTCTTGAGTCCAAGCCTCTTTTCTAATGCGGCAATCTCTGCATCGTCCTGGTCCAGCTTTTCCTGAACCGCCCTAGAAACCTTCGGTGCCGACGATACGTCATCCATGTCTTCGTCGCTGTCAACATCCTTCTTCTTGGACTTCTTCGATTTGGTGTCGCTCGGTTTGGATTGTGTTTCCTTCTGTTTTTGTTTGGCAGCCTTCAACTTGGCCATCGCATCCTCCTCTGCACTCGGTTTGGACGTCGCAGTCTTCTTCTGTTTGGCGGCCTTTAATTTTGCCATGACATCTCCCTCGTCATCCGATCCACCCATATCGGAGTCCATTCCGTCATCGTCGTTACCACCTCGCTGATGATAACCCTGTCGTTGCCCTCCTTGATATCCGCCCGACCGTTGTTGCGGTTTCGTCTTCTTGCTGTTGCGCTCTTCCCGTCGTCGATCTTTTCGCGACGCCGGTCCGTTTCGCTGATTCCTCTTCTTCTGCTTCTCGCCGTAGTGGTCCTTGATGTCCAGCTCAACGCGCAGGTTCCTCGGCAAAGAGGTCGTATTATGCATGAGCCGAGGCATCGTGAATAGAAATTGCGCTGTGCGACGGAACTTTCCTTCGCTGCTCGCTGCTGGGAAACTCCAAGAGGAACTTTTTTTATGCCGCTGGAAAAGTCGGAGAATTATGGGCGGAGCGGAAGGCGGACAGCTACTCTGAAGGCGGTGTGAAGCCCGAGGCCCGCAGTGCGGAGGTTCTGGACTTCTTGTCTGGCTTGTCTCGCTCGCTCACTACTTAATACTCTGTCTCGGTGGCATTGGATTACTCTTTATTACGTCTTTGTAACTGTTTCTTGTGATACTCTCTCTGCAGGCTCACAGCCCTCCACCTCCACCTAATCAGTCAATTCCATCATCTCGATCACAATCACACAATCCCGCACCAAATCAGTCAAGATAGTCAAGATGCCAGCACATCTCGCTCACGACGAGGTATGCATTTCCTTTCCTCAATCTTCCCCAATAACCACAAAAGCTAACCCCAAACTACAGTTCTTCACATCCCTCACCACCCTCCTCACCAACACATCCCAAAAAGCCCGCGGCTCGATCTTCCTCGCCCAGAAACCTCTCCTCGCCTCGAACCCTCCCAACGAGACCTCCTCAACCGCATCCCCCTCGATTCTCATCCGCGCCACAGACGGCAACACCAACGCCCCGAACCCCAAGTCCGCTAAGGAAGGAGATGCAAAGAAGAAGCCCTCGTCGACGTCGCAGAAAGTGAAGCTGTCGACGGTCGTCGCGCCGGAGGAACTCGAAGCATTCTATACCAGATATGCGGAGGTCTGTAAGGCGGGGATGACGGGGTTGAAGAAGCGTGATCGCAAGCGTGGGAAGGCTAAGGGAAAGGGAGGCGCGGGAAAGGTTGCGAAGGCTTAGCTTATTTCTTTTGTTGGCCGCTTGTTGCGATGTTGAGCTGGGAGGTGATTATGATGGCGAGAAGAGGTTTGGAATGAATTAGGTTCAAGGAGATGATGGTTTACTTCTGTCTTTTGCATTCAGGGCGTTCTGTCTGGTTTTTCGATTCTTCTATTTCTCTGTTGATATTTGGGCCCTGTCTACCTACCTTACTAAACTTCTAGAGAATAAGTAGGTATAAGGGGAATGATAAATGTATCATGGATCAATCGGTATACACCGTCTACGTACCGGACTGTTCATAATCTGAGTAATGATAATAGGGTATATAATTATGACTGTATCGCTAGAATACAAAACATTAGGGGATTACAAGAGCAACGCAATACCGAGTCCACCCACAAGTTATACAGGAAAACAAAAAAAAAAAAAAAGGAAAAAGGAAAATTCATACAAGTCCATCATCATCGAAAGAGGCATGAGTCAAAGAAAAGAGAGAGGTTGTACAAGGGTGAGGATTAAAAACGTTATAGCAAAACAGAACCAACCGGAATAAAATCAAATGAATGAGATGAATGAGATGAATGGATGAATGGAGACCCAACGGATTGAAAAAAAGATAAGATGAGAGTTGTCGATCAATCCAATTCCCAAGGATCGAACTTTCGGATCTCCTCCGAGACGGTCCGCTTCCTGAAGTTGTCGCGTGCGAGAGGTAGATCGTAATCATCCATCGTCTCCCGAGAGTTGGTGGCATGTCCATCTGAGCTTGGAGTTGGCCCGATAACGATGCGCGCGGCGATGTGAATGAGCACCACAAACAGCTGAATTGGAGGCACCAAGACCAACTTGCAGGTCTTTTGGATGATGGAAGCCGCGTCGTACTTCTCCGGGGGATGAGCAAGAGCCAGCGTAGACGACGGGGGCATTGGTGAGGCCTCCCGATCCCGAGAGGCCTTCGACCGCCGACGGAATTCAGCACTCATGCTGCTTAGGTTGGGGTTGGAACTTGCGATCGATGCGACTTCGGAATGCTCCACATTTGCCGTTACGTCGACAGCAATACTTGATTGGGACTCGGGCTCAGGCTGGGGCTTAGGCTCAGGACCAGGCTCGGAAACTGAAGCCGTTGGAGACTCTTTCGGGCTGGGGGACGAGCAGTCGCGGCAGACGATCTTTGGCAAGCTCGTCTCTGCGGCATAATCAACCTCCTGAAAGATAGAATCATCCGACGGTTTGTCCTCGCCACAGTCTTGACCCTGGCCTTCGTCCACAGGTACTTCTGGCCGAGAATATGACTGCAAATCTGTCTCAGGCAAAGGCGGTAAGGAATGCTCAATGGAATGGAATGAATCGACACTTGAAGAGAGTGCTGGGTCAGGCTCAGCCTGTGTTTCGGTGTTCTCCTCAAACCTTGCCAGCAAGGTTTGGAAGCTCCGCTGTGTTTCCGCTACAGAGCGCCGGGGAATATCCAAGGACTCGGTAACAGACGGTGCAGGCGAAAGCCCGCGCGGTTCACTTTCGACGGACAGCTCAGGAGTGCAACACCCTTCTTGAACTTCGTTATCGTCCGGAATAGTCTCCAAGATGGTACTATTACTACCTCGCGTAGTGAAACCGCTGCCGTCCGTTGTATTCCCATCGGTCTCTTCCCCAGCACTCAAGTAATCGATCGTAATGTCTTCGCGCACCGGGCTATGATCTTTGGCAAGCCCCAAATAGATCGGCGCGCTTTCCCTGCGTCCTTTGGGACTCCATGCCTTTTTCTTTCGCCTCGGCGCCTTGGCCGCCTCTGGAATCGGAACGGTAAATCCCCGCTTGAAAGGACACGGGGTAACTTCGTATCGCAGGATCTGGGGCAAAGCCTCTTTCATTCCCGTGACCAATTCCCTGTCCTCGTCTGTCTCGTTTGGCAGCTCGATGCGGTAGTAGGTAAGAGGGCGAATGCGCAGCACAAAAGTCGGGCCGCCATCGACACACCAGCACTGGGAGTTCTTCAGAATCGCATGCACGACGCTGCCGCATTTCAGGAAGACGGTCAAGCCGTGGACATTCTCAAGACGCAGCGGCGCAAAGGCGACCGTCCGCTCGGTAGGCGATCTCCATGGCAGAGTTTCGACGGTATCGACCGGATAATCAAAATCCGACGGGGCGGTGCTCGAGGGAATTGGCGCAAGGGCCCTAGGGGCGAAGTGGACAACTTTGGCGGAGGGATGGAAAAACAGATCGTTCTCGGACGGTTTAAAGGAATTCGAGGTGCGGCGATTTCGCGGATTTAGTTTGGTCGGTAGTGTAGCCGATCGACGGATAGACTGTATCTGAGGCAGCGGCGCATCCGAGGGATCGGACATGGTTCATGAGGAACAAGTAGGTAGTGAACGTGATAAGTATTATAAAGGAGGTTTACATTGGATGGATCAAAGGAAAGATGATTACAAGAGAGATGGATAGATGGAAACAAAAGAAGGGAGGGCCATGGGAGAGACCGGTAGTAGATCAAGTAAGTGTAAGTGAAGGAAATGAACGACCAAGGAGTACGACGGAGGGTGAGACAAGGAGCGATCGAGCATCATCGCCATCCCGCGTGATTTGCCTTCGCCTCGGCGGGGATTCGGCAATTCGAGTGAATGCCTGAGGCAACCACAGGCATTCCCCCGGTGGGGCTGCGCGGCTCTGCAAGCGCCCGCGACTAGCGGCTGCTTGGCCAATGTCACGCGGCAGCCATACATTGACGGTTGCCTGCGTTGCGTTGGTCTACGTTTTCCTCCTGCCTTCCCCTCGTTCTTCTCTCCGGTCCTCTTCTATACTCGACCCTCGAGGAACGTCGGCATGCCGAACTTTGAACCCAACGCCGTAATCCGCGGCTTTCAGCTCACCGTCGTTGGCAGTAAGTTTGACTACTAGTCCCCTGCTCATCATTGCTCAATCCGGAAAACTCGGATGTTCGAGATGTCCAATGTCAACGAACAGGCGGGACTCCTCCACCTCCATGCGTGAACCATAAGACATCAGAAGCCAAGATCACTCTATGCAGGGATCTACTTTGGTCTGCAGCGACTGTGGCTCTGATGGCGTCCAATGAATATCACTTTACTTCCAGAAGCCAGTATAGATGCTAACCCCATGGAACAGCTCTTCGGGCACTACGTAATCCCGAGCTATTCAAATCTGAGCACTTCCGACAGGCAGCTCTAGCCATCGTGGTTGGAATTGTTATTCAATTCATCATTCAAATTCCGGTAGGCCAATCAATCAGTCTCTTCGAATTCAGGGTACACGACTAACTTTCCTTACAGATCATAGGTGTCAAATTCCTCCTGGTGGTTGTATCGCTCTTTGTTGACTTAGAAACTGTCACCTGGGATGACACCATTCTGGAATCTCTGGACTTCTTGAACAAATCTGTCCTCCAAGTCCCGTTCCTACTGATGACCTTGATGCGATATGTCACTCCGACTCTAGATGACATGTAAGTTATCTGTCCATCTCGCAAGCCTCCAGGGCGTACTAATGAGTTAGTTTCATGCAATCTCTGCAATGGGTCGATTACACATACGTCAACAAGCACAAGTCGGACGACCCGGCGACTCTGCGGGCCATGTACTATCCCAACCTTATCAAATATTCGACCCACGGCAGCGCAGGTGCGTCAAATAAACCTGTTCCGGACGCTCTGGTCGCTTTCATGGTCCGGTACGGTCGAAAGGTCGGAATGATGCTGGCGGTTTTCGTTCTCTCGCTTCTTCCTATCGTGGGTCGATTTGTGATGCCGGCAGTTTCGTTCCTCTCTTTCCAGGACTTTGTTGGAACCACGCCGGCTGCCGTCATTTTCGGAACCGGCCTTGTGCTTCCTAGGAACTTTGTCATCACCTTTCTCCATACCTACTTCTCGTCCCGCAGCTTGATGCGTGAACTGGTGAGTTGAATCTGCCCGCTTAGGCGATAGATTTGGAATTCTGACAATCATCAGCTGGAACCCTACTTCTGTCGCGTCAAGTTCACCAAAGAGCAGAAAAAACGTTGGTTTTCCGATCGGGAGGGTGTACTCTTTGGCTTCGCCTTTGCCTTCACCGTTGTCCTAAAGACGCCCTACATTGGAGTTCTCATGTACGGCGTAGCAGAGGCATCCACCGCCTATCTTGTCACCAAGATCACCGACCCTCCCC